CCCCTCCTGATCTTTCCGCGTATTCCCAGGCGCGCGGGAGGGTCAGGGGTCACGGTGGTCCTGCTGACGAGCTTCTGGAACGTGCTGTTGGCCAGCAGCCTCTTCTTCATCTGCGCCAGCTGGTAGTCGGCGTTGTCCTTCATCTTGTCGAGCTCGGGACCGCGGGTGTGGTTGGGCTGCGCCTTGAACTTCGCAGCAAACGCCCTGCGAGTGATGAGATCGTAGTTGATCTGGTCGCTGTCTATTGCGTGATAAAGGCCCTTCTCGATGTCTGGCGTCGCCACTGTGTCCCCGAGACGCTGCAGCGCCCCGCAGATCATCGAGTCGTACACCTGCATGCCACAATCGCTCAAGGGGTCCGCGCACTTCTTCTCGACGTACTGCTTCATCGCGTGGCCCATGATGCACTTGGCCCTCAAGGTGCGGTCAGCGTCAGCGCCGCTGCGCAGCCACTGATCGAATGAGAGCTCCATGCTCATATTCAGGATGTTCTTGGTGACGTTCGGCAACCCCTTGTACAGAGCGCTGGACATCCACCACCGCGCTGTTCCGCGGCTCATACGTGTCTGTCCCCTTCCTATACGCTTCCCCACGCACTAGGGTCTTTCATGAACCCCCTTCTTATAATCCCCGATCAGAGCTTGCCTCTGTAGGGGTCCTAGCGGATTCATATGGTTAGGTGAGGTGCGTCGCCGATCTCAGTGGCCAGCCCGGGTGTCCGAGTGCCCGGATGCCCGGCCGGGTGCCTGGGGGTGCCCGGGTGCCCGGTTGCCATGGGGGTGCCCGAAGTGCCTGGGGGTGCCCGGAGGTGCCCGGAGGTGCCCGGGGGTGCCCGGGTGTTTATTGCCCTACAGGCCTATAGCCCTATAGCCCTATTGCCCTATAGCCATATAGGCCTGTAGCCCAATAGCCCAATAGCCCAATAGCCCAATAGCCCTATAGCCCTGTAGCCCTATAGCCTAGCCCTGTAGCCCTATCGCCCTAAAACTCTTTAGCCCATATAGCCCTATAGTCCCATAGCATAGCCCTATAGCTTTATAGCCCTATAGCCCTATAGCCCTATCGCCCGATAGTCCTATGGCCTTATAGCCCCATAGCCCTCGTGGCCTTCATTGCCCTTGCAGACTTCATAGACCTAAGGAACAATGACAAAGGGATCTCATGTAAGATCAAAAGAGACTCTGATCGGGTTTTTCTCCGGTATCATGGAAGCTAATTGTTTGTTGCGCGGGCTAATTAACGGATTGGGGCCGAAAACCATACTGGGAAAACAATTCGCCTCCCGCGGCGGCCACAGCGTGGGGGGTGGGGGGAGGGGTGGGGGTTCCTAAGTGCTTTCCCTTGGTAGTTCGAGCAGTCTGCCTGGAGTTCGCCTGGTGGGCGCCCGCGGGCACCCCGTGCGCTGGCGGGGTCCGCCGAGGCTTCCCCATGTTGGGCGCCCGTGGGCGCCCGGGCGCCCCGTGCAATGGCTGGGCTCGCCGAGGCTTGGCCTGCTGAGCGCCCGTGGGCGCCCACGTGGGGTTCACTGCAGAGGCTCCCCTCGAACAGAAAATTTGCCCGGCGAAGGACCCAACCATACGTAGTTGTGAATACCGCAGTTGTGGGTATCGTCTTCGGTGGAGCTCCCGTTGGGCCACGAAACGCTGGACGCATGCGAACTTTGCCACTGGGGCCTTCGGTGGAGCTCCCCATGGGGCCACGAAACGCTGTACTGGGTGGGGAAACGAATGCGAACTTTGCCACTGGGGCCTTCGGTGGAGCTCCCTATGGGCTACGAAACGCTGTGCTGGGCGGGGGAGACGCATGCGAACTGTGCCACTGGGGCCTCCGGTGGAGCCCCCGATGGGCCACGAAACGCTGCCCTGGGTGCGGGGAGCGCATGTGGACTTTGCCACTGTGGCCTTCGGTGGAGCTCCCTACAGGGCCACGAAGCGCTGTACTGGGTGGTGCGTGACGCAATGTGGACGGTGCCATTGGGGCCTTCGGTGGGGCCCCGATGGGGCCACAATTCGCAATACTGCGTGGGGGAGACGCATGCGCACGGTTCCACTGGGGCCTTCGGTGGAACTCCGTATGGGACCCCGAAGCGCTGTACTGGGTGGTCGAGACGCATGCGGACGGTGCCAGTGGGGCCTCCGGTGAAGCTCCGTATGGGGCCACGAAACGTTGTACTGGGTGGAGGAAGCGCATGCGGGCGGTGCCATTGGGGCTTTCGGTGGGGCTCCGTATGGGGCCCCGAAGCGCTGTATTGGGTGGGGGAGACACATGCGGACGGTGCCGCTGGGGCCTTCGGTGGAGCTTCTCATTGGGCCACGACGCGCCATACTGGGTGGGGTGGGCGCATGCGTAGAGGGGCAACGGAGCCTTCGGTGGAGGTCCCTATAAAACCACGAAGCGCTACTCTGAGTAACGGAAACGCATGCGGGCGGTGCCACTGGGGCCGTCGGTGGAGCCCCCATATGGGGCCACGAAACGCTGTACTGGGTGATGCGTGACGCACGCGGGCGGTCCCATTGGGGCCGTCGGTGGAGCCCCCTATGGGGCCACGAAGCGCTGTGCTGGGTGGTGCGTGACGCATGCGGGCGGTGCCACTGGGGCCTTCGGTGGGGCTCCCTATGGGGCCACGAAACGCTGTATTGGGTGGGGCGGACGCATGCGGGCGGTAGCGCTGGGACCTTCAGTGGGGCTCCCCATGGGGCCACGCAGCGCTGTACTGGGTGTTCGGGACGCAAACGGGCGGTCCCACTGGGACCGTCGGTGGAGCTCCCTATGGGGCCACGAAGCGTTGCACTGGGTGGGGGAAGCGCATGCGGACACCGCCGCTGGGGCCATCGGTGGAGCTCCCTATGGGGCCACGAAGCGCTGTACTGGGTGGTGCGTGACGCATGCGGGCGGTGCCACTGAAGCCTTCGGTGTAGCATGGGGCCACGAAGCGCTGTACTGGGTGGTGCGTGACGCATGCGGGCGGTGCCATTGGGGCTGTCGGTGGAGCTCCCTATGGGGCCACGAAGCGCTACACTGTGTGGTGCATGACGCATGCGGGCGGTCACACTAGGACCATCGGTGAAGCTCCCTATGGGGCCACGAAGCGCTGTACTGGGTGGTGCGTGACGCATTCGGGCGGTCCCATTGGGGTCTTCGGTGGAGCTCCCCATGGGGCCACGAAGCGCTGTACTGGGTGGTGCGTGACGCATGCGGGCGGTGCCACTGGGGCCGTCGGTGGAGCCCCCATATGGGGCCACGAAACGCTGTACTGGGTAATGCGTGACGCACGCGGGCGGTCCCATTGGGGCCGTCGGTGGAGCCCCCTATGGGGCCACGAAGCGCTGTGCTGGGTTGTGCGTGACGCATGCGGGCGGTGCCACTGGGGCCTTCGGTGGGGCTTCCTATGGGGCCACCAAACGCTGTACTGGGTGATGCGTGACGCATGCGGGCGGTGCCATTGGGGCCTTCGGTGGAGCCCCCTATGGGGCCACGAAGCGCTGCGCTGGGTGGTGCGTGACGCATGCGGGCGGTGCCACTGGGGCCGTCGGTGGAGCTCCCCATGGGGCCACGAAGCGCTGTACTGGGTGACGCAGGACGCATGCGGGCGGTGGCACTGGGGCCGTCGGTGAAGCTCCCTATGGGGCCACGGAACGTGCACTGGGTGGTGCATGACGCATGCGGGCGGTGCCATTGGGGCCTTCGGTGGAGCTCCCTATGGGACCACAAAACGTTTTCTGAGTGTGAAGAAACGGGTGATGATGATGATGGTGATGGTGATGATGATGATGGTGATGATGATGCTGCTGCTGATGATGATGATGGTGATGGGGGGAGGGAGGAGGGAGGAGGAATGAATGAGGGGGAGGCGCGGGGCACCGTCTCTTCAAAACGAGGACCCAACACCACAGGATGGTTGGGAAATAAGTTCTGCCACCCTCACCTCCCCCCAAACTTATCGGCAGCCCAAGGGGCACCGCAATTTACATGTTGTTTTGCCATCCAGGCCAAACCGGTATCGCACCGCCATTTATCCCTGCCAAAATACAAACGCGCTCACATTCGTCAATCGCAAAAGCTCCTGTTTCAAGAGTCCCTAGAAGCACTACACGAAGTCCACACACGCGCGCACATGCCGAAACCATACCAAACACACTGACTCTGGGGGTCTTTGAACTTCTTGAAGCCTTTACAAAAAAAACAAAAACAAAAAAAAAAAATAAAAAAAAAAAAAAAAAGAAAAACAAGAAAAAAAAAAAAAAAAAAAAAACAAAAAAAAAAAACAAAAAGAAAAAAAAAAAAAACAAAAAAAAAAAGAAAAAAAAAAAAAACGCAAAAACAAAAAAAAAAAAAAACAAAAAAAAAAGAACAACAAAAAAAAAAACAAAAAAATAAAAACAAAAAAAAAAAAAAAAAAAAAAAGAAAAAAAAAAGAAAAATACAAAAGAAAAAAAAAAAAAAAAAAAAAAAAAAGAAAAAAAAAAAAAACAAAAAAACACCAAAAAAAGAAAAAAAAAAAAAGCCTCTTGGGGTGTCGCCGGGTCTCCGCGGGAGCCTGTGGCGGGAAGATCCTGGGGCGATGTTGAAGCGGTAGGTTCGACATGTGAGTTCGTGTCCCTTTTCCTGGGCCTTTGTGGAACCTTCTTGAAGCTGTTTTGGGCCGTTTTGGTAGTGTTGGGGGCCGTCTTGGCGCTCTCTTGGGCCACCTGGGGGCCCTCTTGGGTCGTTTGGGGGGCCTTCTGGTGGCTCCGTTGGCCGTCTCGAAGCCCGCGTGGGTCGTTTTGAACCGCTCTTGGGGCGGCTTTTGGTATTTCAGGCCATCCTGCAGCGTGGAAGCGTGAGAATGCGAGGACGCCCAAATCCTTCAAATACTGAAAGGAAGTGGACGATGCTCAGCCATGTGGGCTCAATGCGGAGGCCTCGTGGACGTGCGTGGGTGCGTTTTAGGTGGGCGCCCAACGCCATCGAGAGCGCGCGCGCTCGCTTGTGCTGCGTAGTGCGCGGGCGCAAATTTCGCGCCCGCGCCTGGCCCGCGCGCAGGCGGGCGAGCAGGGCGCGCGGGCCGCATCCCGCTTTCCTGCGCCTCGCGGCGCGCGGCCCCACGAGAAGGGCCCGCGCGCGCGAGGGGGGCGACAGCGCGTGCCTCGCGGCGCGCGGCCCCACGCGAAGGGCCCGCGCGCGCGCGAGGGGGGCGACGGCATGTGCCTCGCGGCGCGCGGCCCCACGCGAAGGGCCCGCGCGCGCGAGGGGGAAGCGACGTCATGCGCGTTGCTCGTTTGCTCTTCTGCTCGCTTCGCGTCGAACGCCCCGTGCAGGCGCGCCGCGGGGATCGCGAGGGGCGGATCGCAGTGCGCCTCGGGGTCGCGCGGTGTGCAGGCATTGGTGCTTGCATCTTGCAGGCATGTGCGCTTGCGTCCCGCCGTGGCGGGCGGCGCGCGCGCTTTCGCGTGGGCTGGCCCACGCCAGGTCAGGACTACCCTTTGCTGGCGTGGGCTGGCCCACGCTTAGGCTCCGCTCTCGCGCGGTCTCTCGGCTGGTGTCCT